TGTCTTCTATTACTTAAACTTGGATCGTTCATCAAAACTGTTCTGAAATAGCTATTTCACATGTCATACTAAATACATCTAATTTTCAACGCAATACATAGAGTAGCTATATTAAAAGGAAAATTCCGTATTTGGAGAGAAAAAAATATGAAAAGTCAGAAGACAGACTTATCAATAGAAAATGAAGTTGCATTATTACACCAGACAGACTGTGCAAATATACTTTGATTTTTGGCCCAAATCAAAACCAGCATGCTTGTCATCAACATTATTTCAGGTAACGAAGTGTACATAATATAGTAGTATTTCATTAAAAAAATGCATTTTATTTATTGCCTTTTTTAAAAGCCAGAGGTGATTGAGAAGTAGAGATGTACTTTTTCACTAATATTAAAATCAGGAAAAAAATTCAGCAGTTAAATAACCCTTTTATTTATTCCCTGAAAACTTGTACTATGCCAAAGCTGAATTATTGAATTTTCTCATTTCAAAAATAGTTTTTCCATAAAATAATGAACAGCATTTGAATCTCCAAATCACAAGCTTATTTCCAATTGTTGATGATGAAAAGAAGTACAGGCTTTTAAGAGACCTGTTTTTTAATGAACAGATTGGTACATGGTGTACTACTCTTTTTTTTTTTTTTAATGTTTCTAATATCATATGCACTATTTTAATGTTTTGATCTAGTTGTGCTAGGTTATTTAGGGGCACAAAGTAAATGTGAAGTGCTTTGTTTCCTCTTGAACTTCCAAGTGATTACTGCATTCTGTCTACTGTGAATGGCAGTTCTAATGGCCATGTACGCTGTAATAGTATAAGGGTTCATTAGAAAATGCTAGAAACAAGCACATAACTTAAGATCAGTGTACGAATCAACTTGAAATTTAAAAAGAGTTTTAGCGTAGGCTTCACGAAGCCATTAAAATTCATTTAAAAATTCACTCCCTCTGTGCCTCCTCTTGATTTGACTTTGGTAACACAAAAAGAAATGAACAAATTTTTAAATCCCCCTAAACAAAAGACTGTTTTTCATTTCTCAGCTCCCCTCCCCGCAGGACATACAGTGGTTTAATGCCCTTGGACTACCCCACAGCTACAGCTCACGTTCTTGTTACCTCTACTATACTCAGGTCCAGGTAAATAGCTGCTGCACGTGAACACGAAGCTTATACTGGGTGAATAGTGAATCCAAAGTTTATTGGACACGTGTAACTTGTGACACATGCAATATACATCTCTGCATCAGTAGCAAATACAGCATGTCCCACTTATTGCTTTAGATTTACTATCTGTGGAAGGTCTAGATCAACTGAGACTATACATCTTTGAAACTTGACCAACCCTTTTGCAAGCCATAAATACCTTATTCAGAAGGTTAGATGGGGGTCCTAATAGTGCTTCATAGATAATTAAAACAATGATAGATGAGAAAAACGGTTGAAGTCAGTTGTTAGTGGTTGTACTACTCTGTAGTAAAAGTGGGTCAATATGAGTAGTCTTAGAGAAATCCTTTGAAACAAAAGACATTATTAAATCAGTTACTATTTAGGTCAATTACTCAAAATAAACCATTCATAGAGTGTCCTCGAGACAGGGAAGTCAAAGAGCATCAGAAATTTTAAACTCAAATTGTATTTCACCGTTATTCTTGCTTAACCAAAGCTATCACATTTTACTTTTCCAGGAATACATTACATAAAAGTTTCACTATCTAACAGAGAAGGTGTTAAGCATTGAATTGAAACAGTATTTCATCTATTTAAGATAAGTATGAAAAAAAAGTGAAACAAGTTTTCTAAGAGTGGGTTACAACTTAATTTCATTGTATTTTAAGCCATGTATGGTGATACTGTGGTCTGAATTTTAAGAGTGGATTCTTGAGAATGCTACGGAACTGTTTTTTGCCTGTTTTATTCATAGAAATCCCCAGAGCAGAGGTGAGGTTGAGAGAAGAATCTGTGAGAATATTTTGTTGCATTTAGGTAGACGTATTTAATCTCAGATGCTTGGGATTTGTTGTCAAGTAATAGAAAAAAACAGAAGAAAAAATTAGAAGTAATGTAATAAATATGAATGTGTAATTGAATAAAAACCCCAATAAAAATGCTTTTCAAATTATCCATAATATTTTTAAGCATTTCTTAAAATTTAGTAAAGTTTAAGAAATTTTTAATAGTATACTAAGTAACAAGTTATTCACCAAATTATTATGACATCTGATTCTTGTAACAAGATTTTCCTTAAGAAAGGTCAAAGTAAAGCTGTTGGGACATATTTATCATTTTTCTACATTTATTTTCTTGTGTTAACCTGTTGGACTTGTCATGGTAACAACAGTGCCGACGTTGCACCTTGTATTCTGCGCGTGAGGGTGACTGAACAATATTTCTTTGCATTATTAACAGTAGATCATTGTCTTACCATTTCTTTTCATTTTTGTATTTGTAGGGTAATTGCACAAAACTCTACAAAAGAATGTTTATTGAGGGAACAATTTCAAAATATCTTGTCTACCTGAGAAGATGCTTTAATAAGCTAATATCGTGGAAATGCTAAGAAGCTCTATCTTGGCCTTCTTTTAACTATAGTAACAAGGAATTAAATGTTTGTTCAGAAACAATAGGAATCAGGCCAGACAGCTTAGGGTTTAGCAATCATATAAACAAAAAGCTGTTTGTTTTTCTGAACTGATAGGCAATACCTTCATTTGGAATAATAGGCTTTTGTATTGAACACTAGCGTGAAGACATCCAGAGAGTAATTGGCAGTTTTTGCTCTGTTTTTGCTGTACTGTATTCATCTGTTTCTGTGTTTTATAATTGTGATATATTGATATCTGAATCTGATGAGATAGTATTGAGCTGGGATCAAAAAGCCAGGTATTGTTAATCTAAACGATCATATATATCTCCTCAAACTTCAGGCAACTGTTTGTGCCACCAGTGTTAACATGCTTTACAGTTAACATGCTTTACAGTTAACATGCTTTACAGTTAACATGCTTTACAGTTTGAAAAATATTCCAAGAACAAAGAATTAAACTGAATAATTCAGATATAAAGAAGTTAGCTTAGCCACTACATGTTCAGAGAGGTGAGAAAAAGGAGTGTATAATAATAAAACTAATCCTCCCGGTTTTAAGTGCTTAATGTCTTCTGGTTTTGTTTTGGCTTTTCTATGTGTGTTGTTTTGTGGGGGTGTTTTTCCCCTCTGAAATGTACCCTCATAGTTAAAAATAAGAGGCAAAAGGAGGAAAAAGTAAGCATGTTTACACTTTTTATCACTCACAGATTGCAGAGTACCTGTGGGTGGCTTAAAGCAGCTGTTTCTCCTGGTTACCTAACTTTCTTCTTTAAAATAGAGAATGAAAAAAACCCCACAGCACAACAAGTCTAAATGTCAGAGTCTAAATGAAGCCAAGAAACCTTTTCTCAAGTTCACTAGTTCCTCTGGCCGACTACATTTATTTATTTATTCTCTCTTAGGGACATGATCTATTCCAGCCAAAAAGCAATGATTTAGCCAATGCTTATGCCAGTGTTACAACCTTCTCTCCTGTTGGTGCAGACAGCTCCAAGAGACGTGACTGCCTTCTGGGGCTTTTTATCATCTTTTGCTGGAGTTTGTTACCTTGGTGGCAGAAGGAATCGTGCTTTGGTAGTTTGAGACTCCGGCCTGGGGCTGAGTGTAGCTGGTGTGCGGGACTGCTCGTGGTCTGCTGGGTGGGCTTTTGAGTAGGCACCTGAACTGAGAGGGGACAATGGGAAAGAAAATGTCTTCAACTGTCCCAGCTAAATTTGCCAAAACCATTTTTTTGTCTCCTTAGCCATGTATAGAAAAGTGAAGGTTGTGTTCCGATCTTTGCTTGTTAGCAAATCTGAGTATTTTTGGTGGGTGAAGATTTCATTTCCAGGAAAATGTTTTGTCATGAGGATTTCTCAGGACTAATACAGACCTGGGCATAGGATGCCATGAGAGAAAGACATACATACAAATACCAGCTCGAAATAATTAGTACCCCAGTGGTTAGGGTGCTCGTGCTTAGCGTATTTCTTGCTTTCTACAGTGTCTTTCATTTTGCAGTTTATGCATGCTAACTGTGCATATATTAAAGTATATATGCCACGGGAAGAGTGTCCTAATTAAGTAGACTGTAAGAATCTATCTCTTTCTGGTCCATCAAGCAAGAAGATATTGACACAATTTTGAAGAGCTCTGACTGCTGAGATGGATAAACTGGTCATCTTGAGGGATTGCAAAGAAGAGTATCTGGTCTCTGCACAAGAGCAGCCAATTCCCATCGTGTATTCAGAGAATCGTAAAAATGCAGAAATGTTGAGGCTGGAAAGGACCTCTGGAGATACCTGGTCCAACCTTTTGTTGAGAACAGGGGCAGTTGTTATCCAGGGGCAGTAAAATCAGTTGCTACTTCTTGTGAACATATTGTTAAAGGATGATGTACACCTTTGTAATGCATTAATGCTGAATAGGAATAATCTCCTCTATGCAACTCTCCTGCATGCTTCATTCTTAATTGCAAGCCCTCCTGCAGGAAGAATGGAAATAATTAAAGCTGGTTTAAGTCTGCTTTTCTTTGTACTGTTGCATAACAGGAACAAATACTATTCTGTCAGTTCTGTGTCGTTATCAGTGCTCATTCAAAAATCAAAAGATAACAGTGTTTTTTGTTTTATCATTATTTTTTAAACCCTTCAATGAGATGATGATTTAGATAGAATGCAATTCTCTCTACGGCATTTGGTTTTCTTCCCCCCACCCATTCAGGTCAATTATTTCAATTTCTAAGGATGTATCGTGTGGGTCTTCTCTTTCTTCTCGATCTGTGCTGCACTGTTCTTCAAGGATAAGTCAGAGAAAGTAGAATAAAACAAAATGTAGTAGTAACATTGCTCAGTCTTTTGTTATCCTTTCCTGCTTTTAGGTGACCTCAAATATAAGAGTGACTTTTCTGAAAACGTCCTACCTGGCTCATAATAATGGATATAAAAGATAGAAGACACCGTTCTCTGACAAGGGGCAGGTGTGGAAAGGAATGTCGCTATACAAGTTCTTCACTGGACAGTGAAGACTGCAGAGTACCGACTCAGAAGTCTTACAGCTCAAGTGAGACACTGAAGGCGTATGATCATGACACCAGGATGCACTATGGAAATCGAGTTTCTGACCTGGTTCACAGGGAGTCAGATGAGTTTCCAAGACAAGGTATGTTTAAAGTCAGAACTGGTTTCTTTTACAGTAATCCTTGGTAGACAATCTCTGTTACTTGTTAAAGTACACCAGTGTTGTAGGGAGTTTTAATGAAAGAACTGTAGGAGAATAGATGCCATTTTACCATTATTTCAACTGGTTTGCGTTCAGTTAGGAGCTTCTTGCTCTTCTCAGATTTCTGATACTGTCAGAATTCACTATTTGTAAATGGGGCAAACCAGGATCCACTGTTCAAAACATCTTATAAACACAAATGCTAATGACCCTTAACCAGGTGTCTTTGTCATTGATCTCGGCATTGGCCAATATGCTAACTTTGTATTCTGTTTCCTAGGTTCATTTTGGAAATAATAGTGGCATTTTCACCTAAACTTGTCTGTCTTTAACAGAGTACCTGTACTGAAAAGATAACTAAAACACAGTTAAGGCAAAACCCCATTTGGCCAATGTATATTCATTATTAATCAGGTGCCTTGGAATTCCTTTTTTCTTCTTAACTGCTGTGTAATTGCAATGTGGGAATGGGAAGGCTGTTTCCTCTGACTTCATTTTGTCACTGCTTACCTTTCATCTCATAAAAACTGGAAGGAGGAAACCTATCTAATTACTTTTATAATTGGCTATAATATGTTATCGCAGCATCCTAGAACTAATATTCAAAATAATCTGCCTGTGTGAACTTGTAAGCAAGGTGAAGTAATCTCTTCTTTTATAAAGTGTTCCTCTCTTTAAATGCCTGCTATATCTAATGAATTAATAAAATAGGAATCCAAATGTTTTTACTTGAAAAAACTGTCATTATGCCTTTGCACTGTACACTCACATAGTTTTACTCTCATTCAGCTATTTACTTGTCTCAATAAATCATAATTCTGTTGAAACCATTAGTGAACATTGCTTCATAGGAACAGCGTTTAATCATCTGGTTAACTTGACCAAATAGCCTGATTAAATTGTCACTCAGTCAACAATTAGATATGGTTTTTAAAATAAATTACTTGGTTTAGCTTCAGTGGAAGAATCAGATATGGTTTGTATCAAGCAAGATATAGGCAGTTTTGAGGCATAAATGTATAGCCCTTTCTGCCTTTCTTAATGGAAGGTAAATTATCTAGTACATATTTAATTACTGAAACTCTACTATTTTATATATGTGCTTGTTAATGGCATATGATAATTCTCCACTACACATTTCTAATACTGTGACTCAGGAAATTCTAAGTTATCACACTTCTCTGTGGAGATCATTTAATGAAAGGTCATTTTTTAAACTTGATATCATGTCATGCAACTTGTTCAGAGCATTCTGCCAACAGTCAGTGTCTGTCTTCAGCTTTAAATCAAAATATCTGTTAATTAGCATCACTAATTAAGCCATTGTCTAATCCCTTGTTTCTCTCACATTTGTGTACAGACATTTGGAAGTGTTTGCATTATGCTTGGTCTATCAAACATCCAGTTCTATTTTCTGAGGTAATTTCTGTTCTTATAGGGTCTTTCTTTGCTTATAGATATGTACCTAGAGATCACGCGTCAAACTGCAACTAGATCATACGAGCTGCTGGAGCCATTTTCACTGTGGTTTGTTCAGCCTTTGTGTACAGGAGTCATCTAAATATTACTTTTCCCTATCTGGATGATTGATGCTTCAGCTCAAGTGCCTCATTTTAGTTTCTAGGTCATTATTCGGCATTTCATGAGGGTGTTCTTTTTCTCTTGATTGCTGATTTGACAACTGTTCATCCTCCTCCTGCTCTTAATGTGTTCTTATCTGCCCTCCTTATGAAGGGGAGTGCAAATTGTTGGTAACTGAATTGAAACACTCCAAAGATTTATATTTTTTATTATTTTTCCCCGTGCTAGTCTGTGGTGTTATGTCTAGATGAATAAAGTTTATTTTAGAGAGCTAAAGTAATTTTTTTGTTAAATAATATGAGCAGTAATTCCTTATTTTCCTGGTTTTGTTAGGTTTAGGAAGCAAGTTTCTTTAGAAAATAAGTCTATAGAATGATTCTTCGTATTTGAAAGCTCAGTATCTTTCTCATTGTAAAGTTCCTCTACTGATGTGAAATTTGAGATATTATGGCAAGTACATCTAGATTAAGACTTGGTACACATTCTCACTTTCTATAGGAATATTATATGGATAACAATGTGGTACATGTAGTAGGAAATACTGTTCATTACATCTTATACATGCAGTTTCCAGCTGCAGACATCTAGGAATTTATGCATGTAAATTTATTCTAAGTTTGAGTGGGTGTTTTGATGGGATTAAATTCTGTAGGAAATAAACATGCTAAAAATAAATAATCTTTAGAGAATTTTTTTTTATTCTTCTATTATTAAAAAGCTTGAAACATTTTTTTTAAGCAATTGTAGATATTTTCCTCAATATTTTGTCTCTTCTGTTAATAAAGTTATGTGCGTTTGACTTATTGAAAAGTATCTGGTTTAACCTTGGCACGGGAACTGCTCAAAGCAGTTGTTTGTATTTTTAAGCTGCTGCCTGATCATATGGTCCTCGGTTTTGAAAATCTGTTAAGCGTAAGACCAAGTTGTACTACTTCCATTTTTGTTTATGATGGTTCGACAGTGAAATGCTAGTAACAAAACCTATATTCAGAGCTCAGAAGTCTGAAACAGTTCATCTTGGTTTGCTTTAGTATTTTATTGGCTTTCTGTTCTGACTTGTTTCTCTCTTTCTTCATGAAAAAGCAGATCTCCAAAGCATAAATACCTTTCTAAGCTAGTGTGAATAAAGCATTTGATAGGAAAATTGAATATAAGTGGAAGTTGAGCTCTGAGAGTACAACTTAAAAACTTTGTCATCGTTTGCATGTTTTGAAATAAGCTTTTTGTGCTAATCATTGGCAAATGCGCCTACCAAAGAAGGTTCCTCTTTGTTGTAGATGCCGCTTTCTGGTGCGGTATTTGGAAGTTTTGGTATAAAGGCATGTAGGATGACGTGACTGTGTATTACCTGAAGCACCTTTGTCATTATTTCTACTGTGCTTTTCCTAAGATGTTGACCTGTAATTTTCTGTAAGTAATAAAATTCCCCTCTTAAAGTCTGTTTTTAACATATCAGTAATAATATCTGTACAAAGTAATTCAGAATAGGTTTAGTATTTTTGTGTCAAGCTTATTTTCGGATTATCTTCAGAACAGGTGTTTGGATTCTTATCTAAAATGACAGGTACGATGCATGCTCGAGCTATTAATTAGTCTTAGGTTTTCCCTCATATAGATACAAACTTTTTTGTAGTTCAGTACCTGCACTGGATATTCATTAGTCAATCGGTCTGAAAAATACAGTCCTTCAATGGATCTGAGAGAGCATTCAAAAATTACAAGTTTTATTTAAAGTTGAGGAGTCCTTTTTGAATGCTGTATTTTAAGATGATAGAAACTTTTCTACTTTTTGCTAGGATATACCAAAAGCTTGACAATAGTTCTGACACCTCTGAATATTTGGAATATTTTACAGTCTTCTGGTAATACATGAATTTCTCTATGCCATGCATTTTTCCATGAAAGAGAACCAATTATAAAACTTTACCTCTTTTTTTAAAAAAAAAAAAAAAAAAGAAAATCCCTTCTTTCTGACTTCATCTGCTGACACAGCATGGTGAAAGTAGATGTCTAAGGCCTAAGATGCCCTCTAAAAAATGAGAATTTTGGAAAATGTTTCTTTGAAGAGAATGCTTTGAAAGGCAACTTTTCTTCAAGTATACTTTGTAACCAAATTGTGCTTAAAAGAACAGTCTACTGAGTTGTTAAGAGTTTTGAACTGGATTTCAGAGAGGTGATTGCAAACCTTACTATTCCAGATTTCCTCACTTGCCATTCATAGCTCATGGATTTTGTATTTCTGCCAGAGCCAAACGCCAGGCTTCAGCTGATGCAAAATTTATTAGCAAATAGTTATACTGAATTGACTGCTTGCTTGTTCTCAGATCAGACCTGGTTGAGAAGTAAATCTCTGCTGTGGAATGTTAGCACAGCCAGAGTATATGATTGAAGTTATTAAAAATCAGTCTAAAAACCACAATCATCTTAAACTGGACCCAGCAGTCTTCTGAAATATTTTGAAATTTTTTACCACAGTTGAATTCCTTTGTATATGTCACAGCATCTCTTTTTGTATGGCAAGATAATTTCACTAAAGGACAACAGCCAATACCTTTCTGTATGTCAGCTCAAATTCCATTTTTTGTTTTTATACTTAAAAACACGTGCTTTTTGTATCCTGTTTAACACTATAGGTATGTTAAGGGGAGCTAGAAAACAGTAGTGACAATGATTATAATAAATCCCTTATAATGTCCCTTTAAGATTGTCCAGTATTTTTATTAATATCAAATAGAAAATTAAGTTATCACAGTAAAAAAGAGGGGCACTAGGGAAGTGTAATGCACTCAGTTTTCTTTCATATGAAGTTGTGTTACTATGCCGTACTACTCATCTCCTCTTGCATATTTCATACTGCATCTTTTCTCCATATATAGAAAAAAGAAAAACATCAGTAATGCACCCCCCCACCCCCAAAAAAAACCCCAAACCCAAAGCAACCCAAACCACTTTGATGAATCTACATTTTATTTTTTACAGCCTACTCTAGGGCAGTTCTGATTGCTGAGAAAAATGAATGTTGTTTTCTCTTCTTCTTGTTCTTCACATCATAAATCTGTCACCAAAAAATTTACTGGGACACATTTGAAGAACCACACTGCAGTAAGAACATTTCACGAGAGTGATTAAGCTTGGGCAGATTTAAAGTTATTGTGGTCAGGTCTTCTGTGTTCAGCAACAGCTAATGTGCCTCTGTATAGAGGGGATAGTTCCTGCTACAGGTTCTCAGGCTAACTAGACTTTGTGTCACTACTTATGGTCCCAGTAACACCAAGATGAGATTCTGGTCACCTTGTCATCAAACATGAGTTGTGCTCAACTTTTAGGCTCAAATTAGTTTATCCCTTCCAAGTCCAACT